GTGTCCTGGAAACGAGCCCCATGTCAGGCTCCCTGCTCAGCGGGGAGCCTGCTTCTCCCTCGCCTTCTGCCTGCCACTCCCCCTGCTTGCGCTCTCTCTCTCTCTCAAATAAATTAATCTTAAAAAAAAAAAAAAAAAGGAGGGGCGCCTGGGTGGCTCAGCCGTTAAGCGTCTGCCTTCGGCTCAGGTCATGATCCCAGGGTCCTGGGATCGAGCCCCGCATCGGGCTCCCTGCTCTGCGGGAAGCCTGCTTCTCCCTCTCACACTCCCCCTGCTTGTGTTCCCTCTCTCGCTGTGTCTCTCTCTGTCAAATAAATAAATAAAATCTTAAAAAAAAAAAAAAGGAAAGAAAACATAGTACACAGGACAGACACATAAAATGCAACTGTAGCTCGAGCCCAGAGAAGCCCTTTGGTGGCCCCAGAGGGCATCACAGAGGAAGTAGGCTTGAGAAGAGTCCTGCAGGATCGGAAGGGGGAGAGGCAGGTTGTCTAGATGGCAGATTAGTCTGTGTTAAGAGCACGAGCTGGGAAGCCTGAGGGGAGGCCCAGCCTAGGGATGAGAGGTCCAGCTGCATCCTTGCCCTGATGAAGTGAGGCCACACTCTTGTCTCCCCAAGGCCCCCGAGGCCCAAGCCGGCAACCTGGGTGAGGTAGCTCTCTGCTCGTGCAGCTGAGGTCGCGTCTCCCGGCCAGCGGGCTGCAAGGATGTGCCACAGTGGCACTTGGGAGAGTTCAATCCGCCGGCGACAGATCCGCCTGGATTTCCCCTGAGGGGGCCCCTGTGAATTCACCTTTCAGAGAAAGGAGTGGCTCCTCCGAGGCCCTGCAGCCAGCTGGTGGTAGGTAACAGCTGTTCTGCCTGGCCTGGTCACAGAGTCCTCACCAGCACTCTGAACATTCCTTCTCCTGCCAGAGAAGCCCACCCCAGGCCAGCTTGGACAGCCTGGGTAGCCCCCGGCACACTGCAACCCCCACCAGCTACAGCCCTCCCCCCTCTCCCGCGAGGCCTGCTGGCTGACTCCTGTGTTTTGGGGAAGCTGAAACAAGCCTGGCCTTGAGCCCAGGAATGCACTGGCCTGTGTTCCTGCATTTTTTGTCACCCACTCACCTGCCTCCTGCCCCTTCAGGGGTTTCCAGGTGCCAAAGTCCCAGGTATCAAGGCCCACAGGTGAGGGGCCATTTCCAGACTAGTTCCCAGGGTGAGCCTGGCGGGGAGGGGACTCCACCATACGCCTTCTGGGGAAGCTCCTGGTCAGTGTGACCTGGGGCTGACCTCACCAACTACGTTCATCAGGCCCCGGCCAGATCCCATTTCGACTGGAGAGCTTAATCAAGCAGCTCCTGCGGAAAGGAGGTTGGCGAATCATGCTTCTGGGCCGCTCTGTGGCCTCTGCATGGTGAAGCTGACTCAGGGGAGTCGGTAGAAAAAGAGTGTAAGTTTGAGGTCCCACAGCTCTGGGGCTAAATCTCAGCTAAGTCTCATCACTTCCTTCCTGTGAGTCTTATCTGTACAATGGGGATATACATCCATGGCTCCAATAAAATAATACAAGTAAACAGCTTAGCGTGCTCATGGATACGCTATACCTCCTTCCCTGATGACTAGGTCCACATCAGTGCCTCTATGAGAAATAAGCAATAATCAGGCTTTCTTCGACCACCTCACTAATCCTTAGAACATCCCCCTCAATGCTCTGAGTTAACTCCCACCTTAGAGACGAAGAGCTGAGGAGCCTGGGTGGTCTGTCTGCAGTCACACAGCTTGTCAGTGAGAGGGCTGGGCTGGAGCTCACTCAGTACACCGAGCAGGGTGGCTGTGCTTTGCCGAGCCCCTACTAGGTGCCAGGTTCTGTGCTAAGCACTCTGGCCTCGCACATACAAGCCGGTACTCATGGCAACCTTGCATCTGATGGCACTATTATCCCTGTTTTATAGATAATGGAACTAAGCTGGAGAGGAGCCAGGTTACTTGTCCAAGGCTACATGAGTGAGAAGCTAGCGTGCCAGGGCGGCCTGACTTCAAAACCCTGCAGTCTGGCCTCCTGCTCCCACCAGACCATGCTCCCAGGGGCAGGGGCTCCAATGCATGGCTCTGGCTGTTCTGCACCCAGCTCAGCACAGCTCCCACCTATACCTTGACTCTCAGGGACGGGATGGATGTAAGGCCAGAGGCCAGGACTGGAGCCCACTCCTCCTGGGCCCTGCCAGCTGGCCAGCTCAGGGGGCGGGTCAGGGGGAAGGACTCAGTCCTGGCAAAGACCCAAGGTCCTAGTTGGAGCAGGATCTGGAGGCACCACACACAAGGGCCAGTCCTGGGCCTAACTGGAAAGTTAGAGGGCCTGTCTGCCTGTCTTCTCCATCCCCTCTCAGTGCTAACTGCTCCCCAGGGCTGGAGCCCCCCTCCATTCAGGACTGGTAGTGTCTCCTCAGCAGAGTCACTTAACTTCTCTGAGCCTGTTTCCTTACCTATAACATGCGAACAACAGTTCCTAAGTCCCAGGGAGGTTGTGAGGATCAAGGAGGCAGTGGATAGAAAGAGCCTGCTACAGAGCATGGCAAGTAGCAGCCACTCAACAAACATCAGTTTCTTCCCGTCTTTCCTTCAGATCCCCAGGCGCCACGCTGCCGGCAGGGTGGGCGGGGGGCCACACGTGCCCATCTATCTCAAGGAGGTGGTGTGAGAAGGGGAAAGGACACACGGCCTGGACAGAGTCAGACAAGTCCCAGCTGTGCCACCTGCTAGCCTGTCTTGAGAACGGCTCTGGACCCCAGGGTCCTCATCTCTCAAATGGGACGAACGATACGTTCCTCGCTCCTGCCCTACAGGATCAGATAGGATGACACCCACAAAAAGCTCTGCAAACTGTAAAGTGCTGCAAAAGGTCAAAGGTGAGCAACAGCTATAACCCTCGAATGCACAGCTGCCGGCACAATACGCCAGGCCTAGGCAACGCACCTTAAATACATTTTTCCCATTTTATTTTCATAACCTGGAGGAGGCCCAGAACCCATCGTACTGATGAGAGAGGTCCTGAGGGGTCATGTCACTGACCTGAGATCACACAGTAAGTGGCAGAGGCGGGGTGTGAACCCAGGTCGCTGGTGACCGAAGGAGCGGCTCTGCCCCATCTTGTCATCCTACTTGTCATTACTCCTTTTTTCAAAATTTAATTAATTTATTTTTTAAAGATTTTATTTATTTATTTATTTGACAGAGAGCGAGACAGTGGGATAGAGAGCACAAGCAGGGGGAGTGGGAGAGGGAGAAGCAGGCTTCCCGCCGAGCAGGGAGCCCGATGCGGGGCTCGATCCCAGGACCCTGGGATCATGACCCGAGCCGAAGGCAGACGCCTAACCCACTGAGCCACCCAGGCACCCCTTGTCATCCCACTTGGACTGTCCTCCCGCTTTGGTTGTTGGTCCACGCCAAGCCCTCGGCGGTCTTCAGGTGCTGGAGAAGGGACACCCCTGAGTCCCAGTCTGGCTACCCCAGACATATTTGCCCATGAAGCTTCTAGTTCTGAAATGAAAGGCTGTGTCCCCTTTCAAAGGTGCCTAGATAGCATAAAGCAGGCAGAGCCCTTGCTGTTCCGGACAGCCCTCCCTTGAGCTCTGGTCCTCAGGGACACTAGCCCCAGGCTAGGCTGTAGGGAAGAGAGAGCATGGTGGATGGGTCTTACCCAGCAGCCGTGCCCCTCCTGCTCCTGGACCCGGGGCTGGGGTCGGAAAGGAGAGGTCGCCTAACCTGGTTTGCTCATTTCTACTGTCCTCTAAAAGACACAGTTGCCTGAAATTTGCAATTGTCAAACTGGAATCTCTTCCTGTCTCATAGGAAGGTTTCTGTCTCTTTGAGAAGATTTGTCCCCTTTGGGGTATCTTCATATATTTTACGTACTTTTGGGTATCTTGCAGGTTTTTTAAAAAACTTAGTAAGGATTTGTTGAATCTAAGCTCTGCCACTGATGGCTTTTCATGATCTAGCCTCTCCCAGCGTCTAGGGTCCCAGGATGGGGCCAGGGCAGCAGGAGAGGGATGGAGAAGGTCCTGGCTGCCAAAGGGCTCAAGTCAGGACCTCTATTTGTTGTGGTGGGTATTGTGAATTCACGCGGTGGACGACCCCAATGGGCAGGTGTTAATTCAACAAACAATAACCGGGGATAACCCTGCAAACAAGACAGACATGGGGCTCTAATCTAAGGATAAAACCACCAACACCAAGGTCAACTAGAGTGCCAAAGGCCTAACAAGGTGCAAAGAGAAGAACTTTAACTTAGACGGTTTATCGTGCAAGTCCAATCACCGCGAGGCCATGGGATGTTCCTGCCTGCAAGGGACAACCCTCCGATAAACTTGTTACAACTTTCATCTGCTCACAACCCTAAAATCTGATCAAGTGTGCTCAGCGTTGATTCCCTTGGTTCACAACTTTCAGAGCTCACCGTCCATGCCGGGCAAAACTAGGCCACAGCTTGAAGCCGCAGCAGCAAGGACCACAGTGACCAGGGCTTAGTACCTCCCTGTGCTGCACACACCGTGCGAACCCTTTACACGTGTGCTTCACAGTTCTCAAAACTCTCAAGGTTGGGTAGTCATAGTTCCATTGAAAAAAAATTTTTTTTAAACTGACGTATAGTTGACACAGCACATTATATTAGCTTCAGGGGTACCACACGGTGCTTCCACAAGTCCAGATGCTGTGCCGTGCTCACCGCGAGCACCACGAGCGCCTGTCACCACACAACGCAATTACAACACCACTGACTACACCCCCTAGGTCGTGCCTTGCTTCCCCGTGTATTAGTCCCATTTTTGTAGAGACCGAGGCTCAGAGACAAGTAACTTACTCAGGGCCACACAATGACTGACGGGTTCACCTACTCCAAAGCCTCTGGTTTTCCCATTCTGTCAAGCGATTCCTTTCACCAGACCTGACCAGGTGGGTCCAGCTGGCTGCTCTCCTCTGTGGCTCATTCACAGGGCTCCCTGGGGGGTGCTTACCAAGGAGGTGCTTGATGATGGCTTGGTTGTGTTCCCAGAGGTTGCTGAAGGTCCCCCAGCGTGAGTGGCCATCAGGCACGGGGTTGGCTTTGATCCAGCCGCCACAGGCGTAGGTGAAGAAGTCCTGGCAGGGGTCCACCGTGGGGTCCATGGAACTCAAGATGGAGCTGGTCACTGAGACGCAGGCCTCACTTAGGCACACCGCAGGGGTTCCTGGCAGGGATCAAGGACAAGAGGCCGGTGAAGGGCAGGGAGAAGGCTGTGGGAATATAGTATGGGTGGCCTGGGGTGCCATGCCCCTGCCCCAGCCCTGACCAAACAGATCGGGAGCTGGATGGTCGCTAGACTTCTACCGAGAAACCATTTCAGTAGATTTACCATTTCCTGGCTTGTAAAATAAGACTTCTGTTTAGCTGCCTAAAATCCTTTCTGTGGCTTGAAAAGTACCCAGAACCAAGGTGTTTCTCTTAATCAGTCCTTCCTTCCACAAATATTCACCGTTTTTTTTTTATTATTATTCCCTGATGCTCAACAAATTCATTCACTTGTTCATGCATTCATTCATTCAACAAAATAATAACTGAGTATCTTCCAGGTTCTTTACTGAGTGGTGATTGTGTGTATGTGTGTGTGTGTGGGGGGGTGAGGGATATAAAAGGCATAGTCCTTTCCTTCAAGAGCTAATAATTTAGCTGGAGAGACAGACATTTTATAAGAAAAGTTAAGTAACAACCGGAGGAGAAATGTCTGTCATTCTGCAAACATAAACTGACTGTATTTAGTCCATAACAAATGGGTGATGCAGACAATTTGGTGCCAGGACTTACGGCAAAGGACAGCCTATAATGAACAGAAGAAACTATAAAAAATCATTCCCTCTGAGTACAGGGCAGGAGTGTTATCTCACTGACTCTCAAAGAAATAAAAATGAAACAAAGTGAACAGACCATTTTGCTTAAGCCATTCTTACATACAAGGGAACCGAGGCACAGACAAGCTAAGGCGCTTGTTCAATGGCCAGTGGGGTACGAGTCCCATCCTCTCTCCACTCCGTCTCCTATGGGCCTGGAGAGGCGCTATCCCAGTGATGACAGGCGGGCCCCGGGCAGCCCCATCTGCCGGGTGCCTCCCCGAGGAGGGATTCCGGCAGTTGGTGCAGGTGGGCAGTGGGGAGGGCTGCCAAACGCTGCAAGTACCCCCCATGAATCCACTTCCTCTGAGCCAGTTCTCACAGGACATGGGGCAGAGGCAGTGAGGGCTCTTGGAAGGCCAGAGGCAAGAAGAGGCGCCGGACTCCTGTCTCGGGGTTGGTCAGTGGGCTCCAGCAAAGGAACCAAATTGCACAGCCTTGACAGGGGCCCAGCCCAAGGTGGCGGGAGATCCAGCCTCGTGACTAGGAACGCAGGCCCAGCCAGGGCCCCGGCTGACGTAGGCAACAAGAGGGACTTGACTCACATTTGTTATCTCACGCAGGCCTCACTGCAGACATCGGATACAGGTGTGAAGCCCAGGCTAAAGACGGGGAGACGGAGGCTCTGTGCATGAACAGAGCCGGGCCACACGGCCAAGTGGGAGAGCCGAGGCTGAAGTAGCTCTGGCCTGCTGCAGCTACTCCAAGGCCGGGTTCTCCCTGTTTTCCCTCTCCCTCACTTTGCCGGTCCCATCGGGGGCTGGTGTGGCCCTTCTGGCAAGTTCAGCGTCCCTACTGCACAGGGAGGTGTGTGGCAGAGCAGGGGCTGGAGGCTCTTAGACCTGGGTTCAGATCCCAGCTTTCGGATTCCGGCTGTGGGCCTTGGGCAGGTGACCTCCTCTCCCTGAGCCTCGGTTTCCCCATCTAGAAGCGAGGAAGCACAGTGGGCCTGATGTCACAGTGATGGCGGACGCCTTCGTGGCTGGGCCCAACGTCCCCAGGCCAACCTTCAGAAAGCAGGAAAGGATGCACGGTTCTGGCAGGGGAACACGGCACCAGCTCGGGCTGGGGTGGCCTCTGGGCTTTTTCACATTGGATGACGAGCACAACGTCTGGCAGGCTGATGAAGGGCTTAGAGGAGCCTCAAGTCAGCACAAAAACCGAGGTAGCTTTGAGGGGATGACTTGTCTGGAGCGGACTGTACAACAGTCACAAATTACTGAGCTGGCAGGCTCGAAAACGGAAAGGAACTGGCAGGGCTGCGGTGCCATTTAAGCATCTCCATAGGAGGCCATCTCAAGCGGAGCTGCACGACTCACTCCCCAACTGGGGAAACGTACCAGAATCTTCAGGGTGGGGGGGAAGAGAATTTCTGTGTAGCTTTAAAAAACCTATTCACTATTATGAGAGAACTTCATATTTGAGAAGGGAAAAGAATACCTATTGTTTTTATACCAAAAACTGCAGGAAGTTGGGCTTGACCAAACCCTGGCTGTTGGGAATGCCTGGAGACAGACTGCAAGAGGGTTGTGTTCAGGGAACAAGGCCTGTCAGAAACAGCGTGTGTGCGCGTGAGACAGGGAGGGATTTGGATTGATTGATTTTTGAGGTTATCATAAGGGGACTGGGATTTAAAAACAAAACAAGAAACCAGCCTCCTGAGAGGCCTGATGGGTCACTAAGCCCCCAAGCTGCTAGGTACAGGGCAAGGCACCGAGGTGGTGCTTAAGCAATGCTTGGCTGTTTAACCGCTTAGTGCTTTGTAAATCCTTTACCAGCTATTCCTGACCCAGCAGGGACTTAACACATATTTGATCAATTGCCTGTTTCCAGGCCCCCCTCATCAACATGGAGGTCAACACCTTCAAAACTCGGCCCAGGCTCCAACTCCTCAGGGAAACTTTCCCAGACCCTCACTCCTCGCTGGGCCCCTCAGTTGGCTGCCTGGCTGTGTGCTCTCTGAGGGCAGAGTATGCTGTGTCGTGGCTGTCTCCCTGTCTCCCACCCCGACTGGAACGTGACCTTGAGGGTAGGGCCAGCACCTTACTTGCAGTTCTATTTCCTTTGCCCAGCATTGTACTTGGCACCTAGCAGCGGTCCAGTATGTGTGTGCTGAATGAATGAGTGGATGAAATGAGCTTTGTCCAGCACTTGGTCACCACCTGCAGAGGCAGAAAATATTTCTTCCTTTGAGGATGTGCATGACCAGTCGAGAAGCAGGAACAGCCAAAATCTAGCTCACAGATGCTCGTCTGCATGGTGCTGGGCCCCAACACTGAGTAGGACACTTAAGAATATTTTCTGGGAGAATCTGTGTGTTTTACTGCTGCTGTCTGTAAAGCGCCTGCAAGTCTCTGGAAAGGGGGTCAGTGGGAAAGTAGGCAAATATGTATTTAGGGGCCCAGACAATACTTTGAGACGGGTCTTTCAGAATCATCGGAGAATGTGCTTTGACTAGCCTGAGGTCTGCTCAGGTGTGGCCAATGTCAGCACCTGCTGACAGTCATGAGGTTACTGTCAGTTTCTGGGGTGGCCACTGCTGTCCCAGGCCAAGGCAGCCAATGAAGACACACGGATTGGCTCAGGGCTCATGAGATCTTCGGCCCAGGGTCACCCGGGGGGGGAGAGTTCCTTTCATCCCGGTCCAGGCTAGGGAAACATCTCCTGCAGCCCAGAGGGGGCCGGGATGATAAGAGGCCGAAGGAAGGCTGCTCCCTGCGCTTCCCCACCCCCTGCTGTGGGCACGAGCACAGGATTCAGCGCTTGGGGGCTCCCTTCTGGTTTCCGGGAGCTCCCGGGGCAGGCTCAGAGCAACACTGGCTGTTGGAGCAACACTGACAGAGGCGGACGTTAAGGATGACTAAGGGGAGGTCCTGCCCTCTCTCCAGGCCCTCAAACTCCTTCCCCCTCCGAGTCTAGCATGGCCACCCATGCAGGCCAGCGACTTTACAGTGGGGAAGGCTCGGCGAAGCCTGGGATCATGGGAAGGGTCATAATCTCTCGGATGGGATGAGTGACCAGGTGACCGAGTTGGTGGGGTTGGACCCTGAGCAAAGGCCCCAGAGGCTGCTCCACCAGATGGGCCACCTGCCATCGGAAAGCTAGATGTTGGGGCACAAGGGTGTGAGAGATCCTGGAATTGGCCGGACCCCCCATCCTTGTTGTTTAACTTGGCTCTGCCCTTTCCAGGTCCACAAGTGCTTACTGAACATCAACTCTACATGAGGTACTTGGCTGGATACTCCCAGCCAGACACAGACAGCCAGCCTCAGACACCAACAGCAGAACTGGCCGGGCCCCATCATACTGCTAAACAAGGCCAGACCCAGAGATGTGATTACAACGTGTAGAGATGAGGCACATGGAGGCCAGCTAGGCCATGGCAAGACTGCTCTTCTGGGAGTTCTCACACACAGGGGCACCACCATGACAAAGGCATTGCAATCCAGCTGCCCCCTCCCTCGTGCACCAGCCACATAACCTTGAGCAAGTCACCTAGACTTGCGGCCTCAGCTTCCTCAGATGCAAAATGGGGTCAGAAGTAACCACACCTCATAGGGTTGCTGTGAGGAGGAAACAAGATTATGTTTGTAAAGAAGAGGTGTGGTATTTGGTCCATGGAAAGTATTAAGTAAACGGAAGCTATTATTGTTATTTTGTTGGAACTAAGGATGGTGGACGGTGCCAGACTGTGAGTCTCATCAGCTCACCTCCTCACAATAAGAGCACCCAGAGCTAAGATTCAAGAAGTCCTAGGAGGCTCCAGCTACGTGACAGACATTATCTCTAATCCTCAGGGCCAGCCCCAAATTGGGCACCATTTTCTCCATTCACAGGAGGAGAAGACAGAGGCTCTGGGAGATGAAGTGACTTGTCCGAGGTCACACAGACTATAAACTGCTGGGCCAGGGTTTGTTTGGACTCATGTCCCAAACCTCTATACCACCCACACTGTCCAGCTCCCATGTCTCAGTCCACCTCGGCACCGAGCCATCTGGACCTCGCTCTCTCCTTGGCCCTGGAGGCCAGCCCCGGCTTGAGCAGGGAAGCCCTCTGGCCCAGGTGGACAGAGCCGAGGGCAGCAGTGAGCCAAGCCCAAGACGAAACACAGAGGCACCTACTTGTCCGGTATTGAACGCCCAGTGCTGCCAAGCAGGCCACCAGTCCTGCCGCCAGAAGCGCCACCAGCACCACCAGCCGCTTCTCCACCTGGGTCCGCGCAGCCCAGCACCTCTGGCCACTCCGGGGGCTGCGGAAGTTCACCTGCAGGGAAGGGGGCAGGAGGGGTGGGGAGGACGTGAGCCCAGGGCCCCCCTTCCCCAGGAGCAAGGGGCTCCGCGGCAAGCCCAGGCCCCGGGGAGCCATCAGGGCCGCCTTCCTGCCTCAGGGGTGGTCCGGTTCCCACAGAATCGGTCCTAATCCAGGAAAGGAACTGCCACCCTGCTCAGCAGCTCGGATTAGCTCCTAAACACCAGACTCAAGCAACTCGACCCAGCCGGACTTGTGTTTTTTGTGTTACCCGATATGGGCAGAAGGGAAATAAAGAACAGCTTTTCCCTGTTTCTCCAGTAAGGAGTTCAAAAAAGAACAGGATGTTTGGACTTGCAGGCATCCAGTGAGCGTCCAGCTGGGCTGTTCTCAGAGCCCCCACACCAGCAGGCCAGGATGTTAGCCACAGCTCCTACTTCCCAAGAGTGCGGACATCCTTTGCTCATTACACCCTCACGGTCCCATGGGGGCCATGTTATTAGTTTTCTTTTACAGATGAGGAAACAAGTTCACAGAGGTGAGGCCCCTGCCTCTCGTCACACAGCTAAATGGGGAGAGCTGGGATTTGAACCCAAGTCTGTTGATTCTGGAGCCCACCAAGCGATCAGAGACGGGCGTCTGGGAGATGTCAGGGGAGATGCTATGGAGAGAGCGCTCCATTCAGGCAGGTCCTCAAAGGGAGGAAAAAATGTCCCCAGCCCAACAGTCTAGCTAAACAGGAAGGGAGGCACAATGAGAGGAAGTAGAGGGCGTGGTGGGGCCCTCGGGGCTGAGGAGGGACATACTGGCCAACGGCACTTAGAGCCCTCAGCCCAGGCCTTCACACCCGAGGCCAGTTCGGGGCTCCCCTCCGTTGCAAGAGGTGCTTCCTGCAAAAGCCTGGGCCGCAGGACAGAAGGGGTCCCTGAAGGTGGGGCTCGGCTCAGTGACACTGTGGTCATGTGCCACCATGTTGGAAATACCGAGAGGAAGACAGATTCCCTTGCTTTCCGCTGCTCACAGTCCAGCAAGGAAGGCAGATAAAGAAACAGACTGGGGTGGAGGGTGGGGTGGGGTCCAGTCAGGGAAGGCTTCCTGGAGATGGGGATGCCTGCGCTGGGTCCTGAGGAACAAGTAGGAGCTGGCCAGGTGAATGGGGAAGGAAAGGGGAGAGGGGGAAAGGTCTAGATCCTAAGGGGCCCTTTAGCCCCTTTAAAGAGCGTGCACGTCTTCTGGAGGCCTGGGATGACACAGATTGGATCTGCCCCTTTGGAAAGACCAAGGTGCAGGGAATAAGGCTTGTTGGGGTGTGGGCATGCAGGGCGGTGACCCACAGCTGCCAGGGGAGATGAGGAAACTCAGACTCTGACCTGCAAGTGCCCCCCCCCAAAGCTGAGGGGGTGCCTGTCCCCGGGAGCCAGGTCACAGCCCTCAGGGAGCCTCACGCTGACACGTGGGGATCTGAGGTTGGTCACCTCAGGGAAGGGCGCCACGCAGCCTCATGGTCACCACCGCGTAATTTCTGGGCAGGAAATGACTAGGAATTGCGGCACCAGAGAAAGGGGAACACGAGAACTTTTTGTGGGAAAAAAAACTGTGTTCTAAAACCAACAAAAGGAGCTTGGGGCCTAGTCATATTTCCGAGGAGGGCCAGGCGGCTCCGAGACCCAAACAGCTATGTCAGGTAAAAGGAAGGCTGCCACCGCCCAAAACCCCTTTCTGAAGAATGGTTTTAAAAATGTGAGAAATGAGGCGGAAAAAAAAAAAAAGTGAGCCACGAAGCTTCTAAGCATGCCACTGCCGTGGAGTTTTTAAAACTCTGGGCCGGGAGGGCCTGGTGCAGAGTCAGCCTAGGGCGGTGCTAACATGTTCCCAGTGCTGGCAGGTTTATAAAGGGCTTTTTCCTCGGCATCCATTTTCTCACACAGTTCCCCTTGGGAACTGCCTTTCGGAGGAGTCCCAGAGGATGTGAAGCAAGCACTAACATTTCCCTCTTCCTGCCACCCTGGCCCTGGCCTGCCTCACTGGCTGCCTCCTCCTCAGGGCCCTCATGGCCCAGCACAGGGGGAGGGGGGTGACAGGCAAAGAGACGGGGGGCGGGGGGGCTCAGTTTACGAGGCACCCCTCCGCCTGGTCCTGGCTCTCGGAAGCCAGGGAGCACAGCCGGCAGGCCTGGGGAAGCAGGCACACCTCATGGTGTGCATCTGCATCTGCAGAGGGAGCGCCACCAGGGTGCGGGGAGTCAGGTGAGAGGGAGGGAAAAGGAAGGGAAGGGAGACAATGAGAGGAGGAACAGAGGGAAGGAAAAAGGAGGAATAAAGGTAGCTAACGCCCGAGCGCTTTCTACGTGCCTGGCGTCGCATTAATTCCATTTTGTCGCTGGATGATGCCATTCTATCTTCACAACGTCCTGAAGAGTAGGCACCAGTATCAGCTCCAGAAGAAACACAGGAAGTGGGGGGGGAGGGGGATCAGTGAGAAAACCCATCTCTCTCCAGAACCCTCAGCCTCAGCCCCATGGCCACGCTGCCTCCAAGGAGCAGAAAGTCGAGCTGAGCCTCGTTGTTTAGTGTCAAGCAAACAGTGGTGTTCAATGCAAAAGTGAATCAGAATTAAGTCCGAATTAAATTAGAAATTCAGTTCCAGGAAGAAATGGCAAACAGAATTTGAAAATGGGGTTTTTAACCTTTGTAATGTTCTTTGCTCAACTCGTGCTGACTGGCTGAGGGCCTGCTGGTTTCTTGACAAGCCTCCTCTCTGAGGGCAGAAGGAATTCAGAGGCATCCCCCTGGGGCAGGAGAAGTCCCCCCAGAGGCCTTTCCAGGAGAAGTCATCCAATTCCTGGTGCAGTGGATGGGGCCAGGCTGCGAGGCCCTTCTCTCTGAGCCCTGTGCCCCCTGCCCTGCCTCCTTCAGCGCATCCAGCAAGCTGAGGTCACAGCAAGGGGAGGACATGAGCGCTTTCTCTTCCCTTTTGGAAACGAGAGCGTGTTGATCGCCAGAGACGGGTCCGCAGTGGCTTGGAGGGTGAGAGGATTAGTGGCAGGCGGCCCACTCTGTCTCAGGAGAGGTAACTAGGAGTGGCCACCAGCCAAGGCGCAGAGCTGACGCTTGGGAGATGGAGCTGAGAATTACGGTAAACGCTCAGCTCACGGGTGGGCTTAATATCCCATTTATCTTCACGTGAGGCAGACAGAGAATGAGACCGAAGGCAAAGGATGCCCTCAAAAGAGAGCAGTGGAGCGAGAGACAAAGGAAGAGAGACATCGACAAAGCCAAGGAAAGAAAGAGAGAGAGAGAGAAACAGTTGAGCTGTCCAACCTAGGGGTTCCCAGAGCTTCCACAGCCACGGGAACAAAGCCCTAATGAGGGATAAATATTTGGTTACAGAAGTGAGTGCTTGGCTCACCTAGGCTTACAGCAAGAACGAGTTCTGCAGGCAAGGACGGGACATGGGACACGGCTGCCTGGGGCCCAGGAGACAAGCCAGCAGGAGAAGGGGTGGGGAGCGGGGCAAAGCCTGGGGTTCAGAGGAAGCAAGGGGTCGGGAAGGGAGGCAGAGGTTCTTGCTGAGCCACCACCAGGGCCCCCAGCGACCTGGGCTGCGTAGAGAGGCAAACAGGAGTCAGTCTGGCCAAGGGTTTGGCAGGGAGCCCACCCCCTGCAACCCGAAAGCCTGGTCACCCGACGAGGGCTGGCAGGGTGACCAGGCTGCCTGCTTCAAGTCAGCCTCTCAGAGCAGACAGACTATGACAGCCCAGCCCAGGGCAGCACCCAGCTACCACGAAGGGGTTAGGTTGGGGGAGTTTCTTCCAGCAAAGGTTTTATAACAGTGGATTTCCAGCTGAGGCCACTGGGGCCAGCCCAGAGCAAAACTATAATGTCTTTCTGTCCTCCCCACCTCCTCCTTGAGTCCTACCTGTCTCCCAGCCCCCCATGCCTGACTCTCTTCCAATGACCTGTGGGAGAGGGACTCCTGCCATCCACACAGGAACCAAAGTCTAGTATTTAGAAGAAGCGCTTTCCAGCTCTCTTTGTTTCCCAGAAGGAACACCCAGCTGCCCATGACATGGGAAAAGGGAGGTTAAAGGTCAGCCTTGAACTTTCAAGACCCCATGTGTTGTGTGTGTGCATGTGTGTGTGTCTGTGTGTGTTGCTGGGCCGCCTCTGGGCCTCAATCTCCCATCTTTAAAATGAGGAAGCTAGATGAGGTCTGACCATCCCAGGTCTGGCCGTCTCAGATTCTAGAAGAACTAGAAAGCCAGGAGTATAATAAGGCTCAAACAGGTGGACTCCTGGTGAGCACAGAGGTCTTTTTAAAGTACTAAGTAGGCTTGTCCCTGAAATCACCCTCGAAGGACAGCCCTGTGTGTGGCATGGGGTCGGGGGATGAGAAAAATCACCAGTAAGAATGAAATATCTCAGTTTTCCCTTCTCTTGAAGAAACTGATTTTCTACAAGCAAAAGGATGAGTTTCAAAGGCTTTGGTAGCAGTCATGGCAGCCTGCTCCCCAGCTTAGGCTGCGGGTATCACTTTAGCCGATTCCCTTTGAGCCACCAAAATGGTGTGTGCTAGGGTGTAGGGTGGGGGGCAGGCAGCTGGTCTGAGCACAGCGGAGGCTCCCGAGAGCAAGGTGGTTATATTTAGGGCATCGCTGAGACCTCCCGCCTGGTGAGTCATGGTAACAATCCCAACAGCAAAGAAATCCATTTTCTGTGCACCGTGCACAAGGCTTTCACTTATACAGCCTCATTTCAATCTTTGTAACAACTGTCGATTAATAATATTAACCCCAGGGCGCCTGGGTGGCTCAGTCAGTTAAGCATCTGCCTTCGGCTCAGGTCATGATCCTGGGGTCCTGGGATCGAGCCCCGCATCGGGCTCCTTGTTCAGCGGGGAGTCTGTTTCTCCCTCTCCCTCTGCCGCTCCCCCTGCTTGTGCTCTCTCTCTCTCCCTCTCACAAATAAATAAATAAAACCTTTAAAAAATATACTAAAAATCCAACGGGCTTCAAAATCATGAAAAATCAAGTAGCTTATTTTTATACTTGCCCGTCAAAGAGGGAGATTGGGGAGGAGGGGATGGGGGACATTTTAAAAATCTTAAATTCGAAGGAGCAGTTCTGTTTCCAGCATCAGCTCATAGGAAATTATCCAAAGGGCTAAGGGATGGTCACCTACAATGCTAGTTACTGGGCCTATTGGCCAACCTTAGTATATTGAGTACATATACTTTTATATACTGGTACCGCGAAGCACTATTTTTTTTTACGTTTACTTATGTATTTATGTATTTATTTATTTATTTAGGTAACCTCCACGCCCAACATGGTACTCAAACTCACGACTCCAAGATCAGGAGTCACATGCTCTACTGACTGAGCCAGCCAGGCACCCCGAGGCATTATAATTTTTAATGACAGCATGTTTGGGGAGTTTTTAAACAACAGGAAAAATGCTCATGAAGGGGCATTAAATGAAACAAGCATAGCACAATATTGTGTACTTAGAGGGAGCTCAATTATGTTTATAAATATACGTGTGCAAATGTGGAAAACCAGAAGAGGTTATCTCCAAGTGCTGGGATTACTATTTCTTTTTAAATCTTTTTTTTTTACACTTGACTATTTTTTCTTTCACAAATAAGCACGTAAAGTCTTTATATTGGGAGGGAAAAACTCCCAATGATTAAAAACAAAATTAGTAGAAAACTTGGCTTCATAAGTTGAGGTGAACAAGTTCTCGATTCAAGCATTGGCTCGTTCATACTTGCTTTGGGGAAGTCATGGTGGCTCAAGGGAAGCCGGATCGGGTACCCACAGAAATGCCCCAAGTCCTTGGGGCAACCTTTTTGGCTTTGCCTGTATAAAAAGTAGGCAATGCACCCAGTTTGGCAGATTGGTGTAGGGACAGCAACACTGCACTCCAAAACACATGATAGCTCTGTGACCTCAGGAGTGTCCCCAACCTCTCTGAGATTCAGCTTCATCATCTGTAACATAGCCATGGGGCCCTGACCTCACAGGTCATAAAAACAACAATAATCCTATCAGGCCCCATAAGAGGCATTACATTTACTTTCTCTAAATCCCATTTTACAGACGAGGGAATTGTGCTTTCGGTGGTTAAGCAGCTCACCTAAGACCATCAGCAGAGTCAGAATTCACATTGGGGACCCCAGCTTTGGAGACTGGGCTGCTTCCACTCTGCCAGGCAGCCCCGGAGGCAGATGAACACATTTTGTGACCTGAAAAAGGCTATCCCCATGTGCGCTACTGTTATGTTATGGTGATGACAACATGGCCTATTATTTTGTTGTGAATTCTGAAATGCTTTTGTGCTGATATATTTAGAACCTTCTGTGCAAGATGACACCCAAAAGATTGCTGATTAGATTCTGTTTTGATTTGTGAAGGGAAAAGTGCCTGCCACAGAAATCTAATTTCCTGCTGGATTTAGCCTCTCAAGAAGGGTCCCAGGGAAGAGGTTCGAGACAGACTGTGCTGATCTCCCTCCCAGATTTCTAGCTCTGAGACCTAAGGCGGGTTGTATCCCCATTCAGGCCCTGTTTCCTTATCTGTAAGTGGGAACAGCAATTGCAACAGCTCATAGGGGTGGTCCTGAAAGTTAAGTGGGATGATATAGGTAACGGTGCCATATCCCAGTGGGCAGACCACTTGGAGTTGAGTTCGGATCTCCCTGGGCTACTTACCTAGCCTGGAGGAAGGACTCCATCAGTGCTGTTTTCCTTTACTGGTATTATTATTCCAGCTTCTAAGAGGTATACCTGAGTGGGGCTGGGCCTGGCAACCTGCATTTCCAAGCACCCTAAGCTTGCTCTCTGGATGAACTGTGATTTGGTGTCAGTTCACTGGGTGGCCCCAACATGTTCCCCAGTGCTTCCCTTGGTCAACCTGGCAGAAGTTCTCCTGGACTGAGATGCCCTGCTCCTCTCCCTGGGCTGGTTTCTCAGGAGCTAGATCAAGGGCCTCCTTGAGCGTCCCTGACACTTCTGACTCGCTCCCACTCACCTGCCTGGGTCCAAACCCCACCACAGGGCTGAGGTCCTGTTCAACACTGTCCCAGCTCAGCCCTGCAGGGAGGGAAGAGCAGGAAGCAGCCATGCTCACTGCTCTGCCACAAAGTAGGAAGGTGGTGGGCATGTTTGAGTCCCACAGGGACAGACCCTGGGGAGAGGAGGAATTGGGTTTCATGAGTAGGCTGCAAGGGGGCAGGGAAAGAGGGGGCCAGAAGATGGGTTCCTCCTTGCAGAAAATTCAGGTATTGGGGGAAAGTGGAAGAAGGGGGCCATGCCTACCAGACAGGGTGACCAACCAGCCTGGTTTGCCCAGCACTGAGAAGTTTCCAGGGACACAGGGCTTTCCACATTAAAACTGGGACAGTTTTAAACTCTGCCATTATTGGACAGTGTGACCCTGGGCAGGTCCCTCAGCACCCAGGGACTGCCTTTCCTGTGAAAGGTAACTGGTCCAGTTCAGTTCTACAGGGTGCTTCAACTCTGCCAAGGGGCTGTAGTCCCATCGGCAGGTGCCAGGAGGACTGAGGGACAGTCAGAGCTGGGGAGGGGACCCAGGTGGAGGGAGCCCAGTGCCTTGGAGGCACTTCTGCCCTGGAAAGGCATCTTCCCCCAAGGAGCCCAGAGCTGCCCTGAGCCGTGCCAGCCTGGCACGGCCCCCTCTCGGGCTGGCAGGGTGGGGGCGGGGGAGGAGCAGCGCGCATGCCCGGCTGCCTGGGGGCTCGCAGCCGGCCAGGGCTCCTACCTGCAGGCCGTTTGGGTACACTTCACCCTCGGACAGCGAGTCCACCAGGTCCTCCTCGTCCAGCGTGGCCCGCTTGTAGGTCGACATCTGCAAAGCCAAGTGGAGCACGGACTCCCTCAGCGCCTCCATGGCTCTCGGGCGAATGGGGAGAATGGGGAAGCGGCCCCGGCGCCGCCGCGCGCCCCGCCCCGCCCGGGACACCGAGACCGGCCCACGGACCGGCCTGCGGCAGGGGAGGGGGGGTCCCGCCTTCCTCCGCCCCCTCCCTTCCCCCCCCCCCGCCATCCCGCTTATGCAACGCGACGCCTCACCCCCAGCGCCCGCAGCGCGGCCGCCACCCGCTCCGCATGCTGCGGCCCGCGACGCCTGGTCCCCACCGCCACTGCGGCCCGCGGCGCGACAGGCTGGCCGGGGCGGGCCGGACAACGCGCCACCTTCGCGGGCGGGGCCTGACCGGCGCGCGGTTGCCGGTTCCCTCCATGGCCCCACCGCCGAGACCCGACCCCGGGGTAGGTGGAGGCCCCCCACGGTGAGCCCCTAGCCGGCGGGAGGGGGTCTCGCAGCAGCCCCTCCTCCTGGGAAGCTCCACGTCTCCCTTCAGTTAGGGGGTTGGCAGATAGCAGGAGTCAAGGATTAGGAAGATGCCCCTAATTTGGACCACAACTGTCAAGAGAGAGGTTCCACCCGCCAGTGGCCCTTAGGTGCCTCGAGTAAGCCTCCCCATCGGAGCTAGAAAGATGGGGGGGAGGTGGAATAAAAAAGGCAGGTGTCTCTGTCTCCCCTCTCATTTCCCTCTTCCTCTAGCTCAGGGATTTTAAGCCAGAGAATTTCAGAAAATTCCAACGGCTTAGGGCTAGTCAAGAACCAGGAAGGTGACCCATCCCTCCACCTTCAGTCTCAGGAGGCAAGAGTCTCAAGCAGGCGCTCAGGTAGGAACTCTAGGTACCCAGCGCTCTGCCTCCCACCTCGGAGAAGTCTAACCCAGAAGTTTCCCGAAGGACCCTCCACTTCCAGTGAGACCTGGAATCCCCCTCATTTATACATTTTTCAGCTTCCCACAGTGCACGTCTGTTCATTCCCATATTTGGTTCCCATGGCCACACACGTGTGTGCAGGAACTGGCTCAGAGGGGCGGGGTGACTGCCTGGGGTCACAGCAACAGCTCCTGGAGGCCTCCTGCTTCTACGCTGGCCCTCTCAGGCCTTTACCAGTCTGCCCACCGCCCCTGCCTACCCTCACCTCGTGCCGCTCCCCACCTCACTCACTCAGGCCCCAACTTCTTCGGCCTTCACTCAGTTCCTCAGATTCTCAAGTTTCTGCCCTCCCTCAAGATCTTTACAGCTACTATCCCCTCTATCTGGAACATTCTTTCCTCGCCTCTACTCCTCCCATGGCCAGTTCCGGCTTCAGACCTCAGCTTAAATCGTCACCTCCTCCAGCGTCCTGACCACTCTAAGGAGCCCCTCAAATATTCTGTTACACACCCCATTTTTCCCCTTTAGGGTATTTACCGCAGCCTGTTGTTATTACTTTATTTTACCTTGATCCCACCCCTCCCACCCCGCAAGCATTATGAACTTCATCAGGGCTAGGACCTTGTTCGGCACAGAATCCCCATCACCTCGCATACTATTGGTGCTCAATAGTTCAAATCAATGGTGGAACGAGAGGAGGGGACGTGAAAATTACTCTGGGGCAGTGCCCTTAAGTCCGTGACAATCTAATTTTGAGATGCCCAAGGACAAAGGAAACATATTGAACAGGCACAGGCCTGGGGGAGGTGGGGCGCTTGGGGAGAATTTTAATTCTGGAGACTTCTGCCTCACTCCCAGCGGGTGGGGGTCGTCCCATTACCCACTGGAGACAGAGAGACAGAAGGTTTCCTCACGTCATGCTGAGTTACGGCTGGACTTTTTCTGAAACCAGGACGCTTGCTTACACTAAGTAACAGGTGTCAACCCCCCGAGGAAAAGACCCTTGAAAAAGAAGTTCAGTTCACCACACAGCTTCCCAGCCTGCACAGCAGCTACTGTTTCAGAAACACCTAGGGGTATGAGGCATTTGTCAGTTCTAGCACAGCCATCCTCCCATTTAAGCCTCGCGCCCTTCCCTCTGAGTATTATTGGCCCCTTTTACAGAGCCTGAAGCTGAGGCTCAGGCAGGTAACTTGCCTGGGCACAGAGGCAGTGGCTCCTCCTCCTTCGATCTCATTTCAGAGATCACCCCTTCTAGGAAGCTCTCCTCACCACCCTCCAGACAAGGAGGCTTCTTGTCCCCAGCTCAGTGTCCCCTCCCACCCAGGCCCCCACCCCATGCTTCCTTGTGTTGAAGCACACAGCACTCTAAATGGGAGGACCCTGAAGGCAGGGGCCAGGGCTCCTCAGGCCCTGTCTCCCGCAGGGCCAAGTCTGCAGCTGGAGCCTCCATGGGTGTTGGAGCAAAGACGGGAGGCAAGGGAGGGAGGCTGGAAGCCCATCCCGGGGGCCAAGGCCAGGCCACTGGTGCCGTCCATCCCACTGCAGCCTGTTTGTGGATAGATGATGAAGGAAGCTCACGTACCTCCCAAGCAGAAATCTGCTCAGACGGAGAGTTGTTTATTTTTCAGGGCACAAAAGACGAGGTGCCCCTCCTAAAACGCCTGCCTCGGGCTCTGCAGTGAACTGAACCCACCTGAGTCGCGGAAGCGGCTTGGCTGGCTCGGTGAGGAGCGCAGAGGCCCCAGTCCGTGAGTGAGTGCCACTCCAACAACAATGGCGGCCCTCTATCTGCACCCACCCGGAGCTGGAAGGGGTCTTCCATTCCCTGTCTTGTTGGGTCCCCATACCCACCTGGGGTCTCAGCCTCATCACTTCCATGTTACAGGAGAAGTGGGAGGGAGGTGCTGGGCAGGCAGGAAACCTGCTCTGTACTGCCTGACAAAATGTAGCTCTCCTGACCCCAAGACGTTCTGCCGGGCTCCCAGTGAGAAGACTGAGGATGAGGGAGGAGGCAGGACTCGACAGCCCGCCTCCTTCCCCCCCCCCCCCAGGTCACCTGGCTGGAGAGTGAGTGGCCCAGGAGGTGAATGCTTGCCCGCCTGACCTCATGCTGCTCCCTCCAAGTACCACAGCCGCACGGCTAGGAAGTGGCAGAGCTGGGCCTTGAACCGGGGGCCCGCACTCTTAGTCCTGTGCTCTTCGTGGAAGAGGGAGCTGCTTCTTCAGACGGGGCCCTCGGTCCAGGCACCGAGCTGGCTGGGCAGCCCACGTTCGTTCCTATCATCTTGTTTGCAGTGTGGGCTTCAGGGAAAGGAGAACACAGCTGCTTTGTGGCGAGTCTGCCCTGATCTGCTTGTTCCTCCCCTGGGCCCCTCAGAGGCTGATGCTCACGCGAAGGTGGAGACCGAGCTCGGAAAAGTGGGAACCACAGCTTGGCCCCCCGCCCCAGGCCTCCCGCGCTGCACAGAGAAGGTCGTATGAACCAGAGCGGCTGTGACAGTGCCGCATGGAAATCAAAGGCCTGGGGTGAACAGAAATGAGAAATATTAGAAACGCTCACATGTTTCTGACAACAAAGGCTCTGGCCCAGTGACACCCGGGTGTGATCCTATTTGCAGCGACTGCGTTAATCGCTCAGATGGTTCTCGCCGTAGGTTTGCCCAAAGCAGGGGTTCTTCAAGGAACCTTGGAGTGTGTCAGGCAGGAAGAGCAGTCCCGAGTGAAGTTCACAGGCCTGCGACTCCTTGGCTACACCCTCCAAGCTGTTTTCACGTTCTTTCCGAGCCTCTGCTCTGTCAGTTCCTGCCTCGGGGGCTCATGATTGGCTGGGATCTGTGAAGTACTTACAGGTCATCTCACACGCACTCACATTATGTGTCAGTCGGATACTGTTATTCAATAGGCACAACAACAGAGGGGGTAGAAGCTCTAGATCCGAGCCTCAGTTCAGATGCCCGTGGGCCCACTTCTCAGCTGTGTGACCATGTGCAAGTGATAGCCTCCCTGTGCCTCAGCTGTCTCATCTGGAAAATGGGGATGATAATCACTGTACCTCCCTCGAAGGACTGTTGTCATCCCTAAGGACACACAGCATGTGCTCACCAGGTGTTAGCTGTTCTTCTTCATTCCATCATTACTTATACACTGCAAGGCTCAAAAACCTTCCATTGATCCCCACCACCGAAAGAACTCTGAACTCCGCCCTCTCCAGGTCCATCCTCCATATGCCCCTCAGGTGTGTGGTCATCACCCCGACTCTTACCCAGCCCCGCAGGGGTCGACCACTCAATGGGAGCCCATGGAGTCCTTGATGCACGTCAGGCCTTGGTCCCCACCCCCGAGGGCCCAGCGGCTGATACCCTGTCTCCCAAGACTGGGCCCCCTCCTCACTACTGCTCTCCATCTCTGGCCTACCTCCGCCTCCATGAAGCCCTCCCTGCTTCCTTCCCTGGCACCTGCATTCTGTGCAGGCCTTGTCTGGGCATCTCCACGGCTGGCATGGAGAGGACCTGGGGGCTGGGCAACAATCTTCTTACTACTTTCCAGCCCTGGCACCCAGCGCAAAACCTGGCATATGGATAACTAGTTAACTTGTATCCCGGGTTTTCACAAGGGCATTAGTAGCTGTGATTTCAACAAAGAAGAAATAGTAGAGTTTAGTTGCTTGATGACAATCATGTAAAATCAAACAGAACAATTTCAGGCAAGGGACAAGATAGTAAAAGTATGGCTGCCACTCTTAAAGGCGATACCATGTGATGTTTATTATTACTATTATGTCATCTATTACATTGCTCGGTCTTTTAGAGGAGAAATTTCCATTTGATTAATTTCTTTTTAGATTTACCACAACATTCCTATTCTGATACCAGGAATCCTAGGAATTGGCCCAGATCCCTTTTTTCCTTGGCTGCCAGGAAACTGACAGCCAAATCAGACACTCATTTACGGGCACTTTCCTGGTCTTTATGTTCAGCCTTTTCCTTGTCCACATTTTTCAGTCTGTTTTCTCTGATCCTGATTTTCCATTTCGATTGCATATTATCTTATTGAATGAGTTTTGGTCATAACCCATCATGAATCCTTTGCAGAATAAAGTAAATTAGAAGC